CAACGTATTCAACTCTATCAAATTCAATTGATACAATATCCTATTTAATTAAAATATCTACTTTACCATGTAATCTTATGTAATGACAAACAAGTGCACATCCAAATTTTAAAATTTATTTCAAGAGTTCAAGCAACATAACCTTCACATTATATTATCGAAAGACTCCGCATTTGCAATCTATTTCTTTCCACGAAATTTATAATCTGCGTTCATAATTTAATTGAATCTTGAATGTAAAATTAACGTACGTTCAATGTGTTAATTATTAATAATCAGAAATATTCCAATCCTTGAAATGAATGTGCTGCCCATGATACCGTTTCATCGAAACGGTGGAGACAAGAACTTCTAGCTTTCGGAAAAATGGAGGTTGTAGCCTGATCGAGATCGTGAATTCGTGTCGGTCAAAGAAAACTAATTTGTGTGATTTTCCCGTGAAAAAATCGATTTCCGACACGTCCACCTGTTTCTTGATTTCTTATTCTTCACGTAGCTACGAAATTCTTAGAGTGAAAACCGATTTTTACGCTGTAAAATGCAGGAGAGACGGTACATCCCTATTGTACGCTTTTCTCGTTTTAATTCCAAATATGTAACTTTCTCAAAAATCTCTGAGCTTTCACCACGCTTGAAAAAATAGATTATAAAAAGATCAATTATATTCAATTATTCTTTCAATATTTCAAATACAATATTATCGATATAATCTTAAATGTAATTGCCTTGTTGGATTTTATTTCAGTATTTGTTATCTTGTGATTTTTACGTGATTTTCGTTCCTTATTTAGCATTTTTTAAAAGCTTATATAATTTTGTGACTAAAATTGTTTCTTCCAATTGCGGTAAGATAGTAAATTGGGTTCATAATAATTGCAGAAAATGAAATCATTGAAAGCGAAAGCAAAGACCAAAAAGCCCAATGGTAAATTTGGGAAGGTAAAATTTTCTGCGAAAGAGGTAGCACCTGCTAATCCAGATTTGTCACAACTGAATCAGCAAGTAGACACGAGTGTGTCATCTTTATATAGTTTGAGAAGAGTTTTGGAAGATGGTAGCGATGAGATCAAATCAATTCTGGCATATGAATGTGATTTGGTTTACGAATGTCGCATATGCAGAAGTCTTTTTAGGAGTCTTGTTAATCTCATTTCACACAAACGTATATATTGCAAAGAGAAGTTTGATGTTACGTTTGGTAGAAGCTCTTCTGATAATCATGACAGTGTATGTTCTAATTTCATTTTAATTTCATTGCTTGTGTAATGGGTATTAACCTGTTAAAATAAACGCATTGTTTTACTATATTTTTATTTTTAATTTAAGAAATATATTACAGATTTTTACAATTGAACCAAATACACAAATACTGGAAACTACACATCAAGAGGGTTGTGGAAATGATAGAATCCTAAGAAGCCAAGTTTCTAAGGAAGAGCAAAAGAAGGATCTCATCTCTGTTGTAAATATGTTGCAGAAAAAGCAGAATGAAAGTTTACACAGTAACACTGAACATTTGTGTTTGGAGGTTGTACAATCAAACTCATCTGCAGTTTATCAGACTCTTAAACCAGTAGTTTCAACACAAAACCATGTAGATCTAATGAAAGCACAGGTTAATGAACAATTACAAATTTTAATTATTCTATGAAGTAGTAATCAAGTTTAATTAAGTTATGCTATCATAATTTTTTAATACAACTTAGGTAACAGAACTGAAGGACATGATTAATGAACGAACTGCAGTGTTAGGTCCAGATGGACAAATTTTACAGTCCAAACATGATTCGATTACCAGTAATAATGAAGAAACAACATGCATCTCCGAACCTGAACTTACTTGTTCCATATGTAGGCTATTATCATTTCCTTCAGGATATTTTGTTGTATTTATTTATTTTGATTAACCTCTTTTAATTGACAGGTAATGCGAAATTTTCAACAAAGAAAACATTGGCAGTACACACAAGGACGTTACACACATCTCATAGATTATGTTATCCTTGTCCATACTGTCCTAGCACTTTTGCGAACACATGGAGTGTTTATCGTCACTTGTTTAAAGGTATGTAGGTACAATCTATAAGTAATTTTATATTGGCTTATTAATATCAATCTAAACTTTAGTTCACAGGAAAACTAATGATCACGTGAGAAAGCTCAGAGTTCAGATACAAGAGAAAGCTTTTATTAAAGACACAACAGGTGCAGAAGATTTGCAAAAGGAACAAGCTAGTAAAGCATTAGCTGCTAGTTTATTACCAGTCAATGAAACACAGGTATGTTAATATTTATATTAGTGTACAATTTTTATAAAAATACACATGTGACATTTTATCGATAGGAGTGGATAGATCATCTAGAATCTGATGCAGAATTGTACAGATGTGGAGGTTGTGGGAAACGGTTTGAGAGGAAAGCAGCATTATCTTCTCATTCGCAATATTGTCACAGACGTGTTGCAGCCTGTGAAAGTACAACCAAAATCAAAAAAGTGAACAAAGTGTTGCCAGATCAAGTTTCTAATGAGACCATAGTTACTTCTACTTCTACCGAGATTAATAATAGTAATGAGACATCTATTCGAGTGGAAGCTGTGAGTACCTTAAGTAAAGCAGACTGGGAGATGCTACAAAATACGGAAGTAATTAATGAGAAGGAGAGCAAAGAAAATATAACAATGATAGAGAACAGAGTACAGGAAGATATTGCAAAAAGTAATTCTTCTGCTACGAATACTGCCTCTGATTCTTTAGAAATTGTTTATGCTAATATGAGCAAGCATAAAAATAATGTAGGAAGTAGGAAGAGAAAGAATAAGGACAGTGCAAAGAGAATAACTCCTGATGAAGGTAAGAACAAAATAAAAGTTTATCTTTTTATATACTGAAACAGTTAAGAGACTAAATTGCATTTCTGCATAGGTAATGCCGAGAAAATGGATCACGCATTGATAATGGAAAAGAAAATAGCTGCGCTAGTAAGTTTTCAGAAACTACAGTGCCTTCCCTGTAAACGAAAATTCACCTCTGTGACTAATCTAAGAAGACATGCTGCCATTCATGTCGGCTGGAACCGATATCGGTGCAAGATCTGTAATTACAAATGTTTCGTTAAGTGCGATTGCGTGGCACACTGCAATAAAATACATAATGCTCAGAATAATCGCGCTATTATAGAAGATATGATAAGCCAGATCTCAGACGACAATATTATATCCGAGCAAGAAATCATTTTAAAAGGAACGAATTTAGAGGAAGAAACCAATAATCCAGATGTTGTGGAGATCAGTGTTCCTCTGAATCGTGTGAAACCAGAGGAGATTCAGTTGGAGGAAATAGATGAAGACCAAGTGGTAACAGAAATAGCAAATGAGAAAATAAACACGGAAATAGAAAATGAAACAGAAATAAAAGGCCAGACAGAAGAAGACGTAGAGGTGATAACGGAAACGCGAAGCAAAGTGAATGCGGAATTAAAAAATGAGACAGATATAGAAATAATACCCTCAAAACCAGCTGCATGTCAAGAAATCGTTAACGGGGACGCTCAAGAGGATATCAGCAATGGTGTCAAAGGACAAAACCCTCATGAGTTGGACCCGGAGCTCAGAAAAATGGTAATGGAAGTTATCTTTGGATCTTCAGAGACGAATTCTACAAAACAAGTAGTAGAGAAAGAAAAGTCGCCTACGAGTTTTGATGCAAAAGAGAGCGAGATTGTGTGTCTGTCGGACAATCCGAGGCCACAGAGACCCACTCGAAATAAAATAAAACCGTTAAACAAAGACTTTATATACGATTTGAAGGAAGTAACGTTGCGAAAGGAATCATTAATTGTTAAACCGTTTGGTAAAATTCTTGCAAAAAGAACATCGAGTCAGGAAGAAAGTACAGAGAAAGACAGCGAGCCGAAGTCCAAACGTATTAAGCCTTTGTCAGAGAACGGTGTGTCGATTCATTGTGAGAGCAATGTTATGGATAAGTGTGACGTTAAGTTCGGGAGGGAGAGGTTGAATGATGGTTTATCCTTTTTCTTTAATTCAAGATAAATATAATCATTACCAATTAAATTGTATCTACGAGAAATGTAAAGTGAATTAAAATAAACTGTTGTATAATTAGAAAAGCTTTTATTATTTATGAAACAGTCTGTATATTTCTCTTATCTGTCTACTTTCTTATCTTCGACTGGCCCAGTTTGATCGACGGCGCGAAAACTATCAGCTTCGTGATTTGCCGGCGCTCGAAAAGTCGGCGTTTAATTGGCCAACGTTAGGTCAATCAGCGCGTAGCCGCCGCCATTGGTGGGAGAACTATGGTACTGCAACAGGTATGTATTTGGTAGATGCGCGGCAAACGGCGCGGAGTAACGACGGTATCTTGACGGCTTGTATCTTATGGGACCTGTTAATTAGAATGACGCCAGTGAAATGATAACAATTCGGCTCCTCTCTTGTTATAATGGTGACGAATAGTGGCGTGGTGTGAAGTGCGTTGATCTCGTGGGATTTCTTCTGTCGGAGAATCCTGGCTACAGCATCGTGAACGTAAGTCATCCGAAGTTCTTTTTTTTCCCATCTTCTGTCCTCTGTTAAGGATTGTTTCTTCCTTAGGCACGGTTCACGTTACTCGAGACACCGAATTCCCCTGCACGCTTTTTATAGCGTCCGTGTCACGATATTATGTGCGATGAAGTATAATTAATTTTATATTTTTAGTCGCCACGTTGTCGAATCGTTTTCTTAGGATTATCTAGCATGCTTCGGTTCGGTAGGTGTCAAAATAATAGATTGCCTCTCACGAAAAGCGACGTTTTGGTACGACGTGTGCCTACGTTCAGTCTATATAATTTCATATATCTGCAGAAAAAGTAGAAATCTCGAAATGTGTAAAATTTATTTCTCTGTGTTTATACGTATAATCCTTTTAGCCTTATAGTATTTTAGATCACGGCATCATAACGGTTTACGCCGACACTTTAAATATTACCTTTCTCTCGTAGAAAGTGTGCGTGCTTATTGTCCGGTAATTATCGTTTGTTAACACCTTGTAACACATAAAACAGAGGACTACTTTTATGGAGAGAAGTTGTACAATCCCGTATGGACTCGATCAGTAGGCCTACATCCCATTTATTTATAGCATTTTTGGTACATGAAAACTGGGTACAGGCAAAATCTTTAAACAAGCATAACGAAAGATTTTTATTCGATATAGCATCTTACGAAATATTGTTCGAATTTTAAATCGATTTCACTCAAACTTATTACGCAACGTTCTCAGTATTATTGGTTATCTTAATAAACGTTTTGATTTTGTTAAATGCAGGCAATTGTCGCGAGTTGGTATATGCTTTGGACAATTATTTTTCGAATCTATTTTTCTCTCATGATACGAAGCAATCCTGTATTTCGAGGAGACAATTCACTTGTTTTATATGTGTTCGTGTTGTAATTGGACGCGCGACTTTCCCTTCTTGGAAATTTTCTCTCTCTCTCTCTCTCTCCCCCTTCCACGTGCACCTGCTTCTTTTACTGCTTGACAAAAGTTACAGCAATGGACGATTTCCAGTTCGGAAACTTTGATTTTTATGTTCATTGCTTCTGCTCATTTTACCGTATCTTGGTTTAGGGGGGGGAAACACTATCGTTTATCGTTTGTGTCACAGTGTACTTGAATAATCTAAAAGATAATTTGGGTTACGAAGCATTTTCCCCATGAGATATTCTTCCTCCATCTTTTAGTCCAGCTTTTAAGATTTCTGCTTAACCGTCTTCGAAAAAGGGGGAGGAGCTTCTCTTCCACATTCCAAGAGACCCTCGATTACTATTTTTCCGAGAGTAGACACGTGCTGTTTCAAATCTTCAAAAAATTTCAATCTCACAATCCATATTGAATAACACGACCTTTATGATTGCGACTACAAAATTTATTATTACGACTGGACAGTCAATCATTTTTGTAATAAATGCATAAAATCTGCGGCCTGGATAATCTATCATTATTATTGCGACAACCAGTTTTACCAGGAAATGAAATATTATATATAAATAATTATATATAATATTATATATATAATATTATATATAAATGAAATATTTAAAACACATTTTTCTTGTTCGTTGCACGTCTATCGATGTTGGTATCGAGTGACTCACCGACTTCTAGACGGGAGTGTACGAATCAAGATCGAAACTTTTTATTTAATGAAAAGCCGCGAACGGAACACGTATTCTATAGAGAATTGAAGTGAGAAACTTCGAATACGTTCTGCAAGTAAGTAGGTACTATGTATGGACGGGTTGCTATACACGTTTACGATACTCGTTGAAGTATTAATCGACGAGAAATCAGGTGGAGCAATTCCGTTGCGACAGATCGCAGAAATACAACGCTTCGAAGGGACTTGAATGCACAGACCAGAGGTGCACTCTGGAGACGCGGTGGACCATGGGGGACGGCACGAAACCCGTAAAAAGCGATGCAACGAACTGGGTCAGGCTTCTCATTATTTCGAGCATAGGGCAAACGGTGCGTGCTCGTGCGCCGGTCGTTCGAGGACGGGTAAAACTACCCCCTCGTGGACGTGTTTTCGTTCAGCACGACCCGCGTACGTAATGCAACGAGGGCATTGACGTCCCAGCGAAGTGCATACAATCTGTCGTTATGGAAACGCGGTGCATCACAGAACTACCGATTCTTCTTTGCCCATTGCAACCTCTTCTCGTTGCGACACCCGATAACCCTGATGCAACAGTTATCTCTACCATTAACGGACAAATTCATTCTTGAAGACTGGATCAAGAATTTTCGTTTACATCATTATAATAAAAATAATTATATATATAAATATATAATAATATATAATAATATATATTATTATATTATAAATATATACTAATATATAATAATATATATATTATTATATTATAAATATATAATAATTATATATATATATTATATAATATAAAAATAATTGAAGACCTAGTTATCCCTAACTTGCGAACAAATGAATCGTCAGAGGCTGGGTCAGTCTTAATAGGTATTTTTCGTCGGGATTATTATAACGAAAACACGGTGATTTAGCAGAGAGAGATATGTTTGTTTTATGAAAAAATTGTACGGATAGTAAAAGAATTGTAAAATTTTGCAGGTAGTTGGACGACGCCGAGTAAGATCAATAACTTGAGGAATATTTTGGAATGTAGTTCAGAAGTTGTGTGGGAAAGATAGCGTTCTGTGCAGCCCCTTAAGCCGGACATCGACACGAGTGTAATGCAACGGATAATGTAACATGACATCGCTGTCCAAGCTTTGCCTCGCGAATAAACCAGGCTTCTCGGACACTGGGCTCTGTCGTCAGGGTGATCAACGCACCAAACACGACATCCGGCAGACACGAAACCAATACAAATCGATTTGCCGGGAAGCATCCCCTATTTCTTTTGCTGTGTCTGGCCGCGGCGTGTGACTGGCGTAATATCTAAACGGCGATTAATACTACAATCTCGACACTACAATCACATTTGATAACGCGTTCGATTATGATCCATGAGATCATGATCACATTGTGGATATTTTTAGTTGATCGGATACTTGATGATTTGTAAGAGCGATAATGATTGGTAAACTGGCTGACGTCGAGGGATCGCACAAGAAAGAGGAAATCAGCTGACTTAACCCAGACCTAATCGAGACATGAGAAGCGATAGGTGATACCGAGGGACCATAGACGGCCACTGCAGGAGAAAGAGGAAATCAGCTGACCGACTCACGAAATAATCAGGAAGCTATTAGGCCGAGTTACATCGCGGTCCCGTTGCGAACGTCCGTTTTAGCTCTTTAACTGTCCCCTGTCCAGCTCGTAAAGCAATACGAATTCAATACAGAGCCGCGGTATAACTGTAACAGTACATGTACAATTTTTTTCAAATTTTTATCACGGTTAGTTCAGAAGTTATGACACTCCGAAGACGAACCCCATGCAATAACCACCTTGTCTACACAAAATCATTGTTGCACGTAAGAATAGCTTTCCATATGAAAAGTTAGTACAAGGACGTTGTAGTATAATTGTAACAGTATATGTATGATTTTTTTTCAGATTTTTATTACGAATTAAAGATTAGAAATTCTGGTGACCGAATGTGAAAACGTAACATGAGCTGGAGGGATCGTTTAGGGACGGAATGAAAACGGCAATCTGTTAGGAAATAATAGGAAAGATCAGCGTACAATTACCGGACTTGCGTCAGGGAAGGCATAAAGTCTGCAATCCGTTGATTTTACGCGCAATCGTGCGTGACTACCGGTTCGCGGTTTTCCGGTGCTGGATGTGACTCGTCTGGGGACCTTTTCCGCGGTGGTGTCCCGGCTTTTGGGAAAGTTGCACTCGTTTTCGCCCGGGTCCAGACGTCGACTTCGACATTAACTGCGGCATTTGTTCGCCGTTTAATCCGTTCAATTTCAGCGGTTCAACGAGTTTGACAACTTTCGACGGTGACGCAATGACGTATCCGTAAATGTATCGCGTGCTCGTTGCATAATGCAGCGCCGTGCAAGCTCAGAATGCATTCAGGCGAGAAATCCAGCATCGCAGACGATGGCGTGTCCTTCGAGACGAATTCTAATGTCTTTTCTGTCGGACAAAACCGTCCGCGAGTTTCGCAGCAAAATGCATTCGAAGCTTTTCTTCATTCGCCATACGGTTGAGGGGATCTTATCTCGATGCTGTCTTCGATCTATCTTATTAATTACTTCGGCTTGTATGTACTTGCATTATGCAATGAAGTGCATTGCAGGGACGGTAGGAGTCCAGGACGAAATTAATCTAAATTGGAGCGGTTGATTTGTTTGAACGAAATGTTTCTTCGGTGCAAACGTTGCTTGTCGTCGCCGGAGAACGCCTTCGCCATGCTCCAGTTGCTTAATTAAGACATATTTGTCGGTGGAATTATCGTGGGCGGGCGACAAAGAGCATCGAGAATTGGGCGAATTAGGCCGAATTCTTGTTTGTTAAGAATACACCCTACGCAGACTGAACTTGAGCCGCCCCGCGTGGCGCAACAATTACAATTTCGCTACACCGGCAATTAGTATCTGCATTTGCATTTCTAATATCCAAGAATTTTTCGAAACACAAGCGAACACGAATTATAACACAGTTTTATTCTAATCTGTTTCAGTATTAAATCGATTTGTTTAGTTTTCTGTCACTTATAAGCCATATCTATACATATTCAGTAAAATATAATTGCATTGTAATTAATTCTAATACTTTCTGTTTCACTTCTATAAACGCATTCATTTATCTGCGAACTGTAAAAATGAATTGTAATTCAATTCCACAGTGAGATTCAATGAAATACGTTTAATAGTGGAAACAGGATGATGAAAATTGATTCAGTCCAAGGACGAGATCGATCAAAACACGATGTTTTTTTATGATAAAGATCTATTATTATTCTAAGCCATCGAGCGTTTTTGCCGGCCTATTGCACGCGGAATAAAAATTGCCTCGTTGCAAACATGGCGAAGGTATTTCTATGAATAATTAATGCAATTGCAACGCCACTGTTATCTTCGTCAGACGACGATCTATCGCAGCCGTCCTCCTGTCCTTGGCTTTCCAAAGCGGGCGAGATTCTCAAATTCGAAAATGCGGACTTCGACTTTCGAACACGTCGCGGCGCGTCTGAATACAACAGAACCATGCAAGAAAAGAGTTAAAATTTATTGGACGTCGTTGCGGGCAAGATTTCATCGCTGGCTGAACTCGAGGAGGGCAATCACGATGCAAATGCGTTTGAAATGATCGTCGACAGCGTGAAACCCGGTGCGCCCAGGGACTTTCAATACCGTGGACCTCGTGCTTGCGTTCTCGGATTGTCTTCCACGGCTACATACAATTAACAATCCGGTTTCTTCTTCCGCCTAACGTCTCTCATAATCCGTCCTTGCGTCCGGCGACTGTATAATTTATGTATTGCGTCTCGACTCGGAGTTACACGCGGCCAGAAACATTATCATGCTTCTCGAGGAGAACACGCGCAGAAACGCATGCGAAGAGATTCCAATGTTTCAACGAAATTAACACCGAACTTAGCCGCGCGCGCTAAAAGATGACTGACAGGTGTTGCTACCATATTTGTCACAGACATTTCCTCGATCGTTTCCTGCGAAAGAGTCTTTGTAATTTCAACAATATGGGCTTAGTGTTAATGAGCAATGTTAAGAGACCACTGAATTTCGAATGAGAAGTTGTTAAGAGTTCAATTCGGTGTAACAGATCAAAATTTAACGTAGATCTAGTTTAAGCCTCTGCTTCATAAATTTTGGAATTGTTGATTGCATGCTAATCGATGTTTATTATTTTGTTTCAGAAGAACAAGTGGGAACGGAAGCAAAATGGCGTGCGCATCACAGTGTGCCAAGTACTTCCTGTGTTTCTTTAATTTCGTTTTCTTCGTAAGTATGCGTAAAATATATGAAAGTGCTTTAATCAGTCAATTTTCACCGAACGAAGGAGAAACTACTTTTTAATTAGCAAGCGAGAAACGGACATGGGCGCGGGTTGTGCAGCTTGCAATTTTACTTTGAAATAGAATTTAAACAATGGTGCTCTTGTTAAGGTGGCCATGCCAGCGCAAATTATTTCTCAATTAGATAAGGATGTTACCGTAACGATAACAGGCTGCGTTTCCTCCTATGCTAAGCCATTATACATTGACGTGGGAATGCAATTTCCCAAGAAACTGCTTGAATAATTTTCCATGAAATCGATTATGTTTGCTTTTTAGGTGGCCGGAGGAGCGGCGTTGGCTCTTGGAATCTGGCTATTCGCCGATAGCAGTTCGTTCACCGACCTCATAGTCAAACTTGACCAATCTGCTGACATTTTGGTAAATTTTCGAAAAATTTGCAATAAAGATTTGATAGCGTGTTAATGTGCCCAAGAAAATTGAATGGAATCAATTTATGCCATTTGATTTGAATTACTTAATAATTCTTGTGCTGTACTAATTTCTTTTCTTTTTTTGCAGAACAAAACAGATGCAGGCGTCATCAAAGTGATGTCATACATTCTAATCATATCAGGAGCACTGACTTTCCTGATCAGTTTCTTAGGATACTGTGGAGCAATGTTTGAGTCACGATGTCTTCTCTGTGTGGTAAGTATTTTATAATATATAGTTTTTATTGAAGTCGCCATCTCATGCTACAAAAGCAATATTAATTTTGCAGTATGGTATCCTCATATTACTGGTTCTGGTCCTGGAGTGTGTGGCAGTAGGTCTAGCCTTTGGATACAGAGAACAAGTAAGTTGCTCTAATATTTGGTAACAGCAAACAGGAATTCATTTCAATAATCTTTTTATCGGGATTGTTCCAGCCGGAAAAGGGCATGCAGAATTTCCTCAAATCTACTCTCAAGTACTATGCCAGCAATATTGACAAAACAGAAACAGTTACAGTCGCTTGGGATGGCCTAATGACTCAGGTTGTTAAGAACTTTATTAATTGGTTAATCAAGTAAGCGTGTGGGAGGAATGATGCACGAGCGAGTAGTATGAAAGATTCGTAGACACAGATAGATTAATAAGCTCGGACTTCCGGCGTTGTGTAGCTATATCGTTTTAATATTGTTTTCTTGCTTTTAGCTCCATTGTTGCGGAGTAGAGAGCTATACAGACTTCCGAGAGAGCATAAACTGGACAGCAACGGATAAGATTGTTCCTGAAGCGTGTTGTATAAAGGAGAACAATGCTTTGAAGGATCCTTCCTGCCCTATAACTCCAACTTCCAATAATTCTTACTACAAACAGGTCAGGATCTTTTACATTTCCGGCAGATATGGCAGCGAGATATGGCACATGTGTAAATTTTCAATAAATAAAAAATATATCTGTTTCAGGGTTGCTATCAAGCGATGGTGAGGACAATAGAAGAAAATTTAGCGATTGTGATCGGCGTGGGTGCAGGTCTGGCATTTACCGAAATCCTCGTGATTATTTTAGCCCTGCATCTAGCCTGCTGTTACTGGCGACCCCAACATGGTAGGCTTCCTCTTCTCACTTAACGCCTCCCAATCGGTAAACAGAGTCTCTTCGGCGTATTCGAGCAAACAGTGTCAAATTCGACCAAAGTAAACCTTTCTAGTGGCAGACGACGTCTAGAAAAAACTGTAGAGAAATTTCGTCGAGAAATTTGTTAAGATGAAAACGTTCTTTTAGCTTGCATCGACGTGTCGTCGTCGAGACAGGCCTGGTGAACAGTGATGAAGATGGTGTTTGCTTTCTCAAGTAAGGCTTAGAAGGCGTTGAGAGTTCCAATCCTTTTTCCATTTCCAGTAGAGTTTGCATGAGAATCAGCTAAATGATTTCTGAAAACTTTGTCTGGAATAACTCGTACGTTGGAAAACGAGTTATTGTAGATAATACTGTTTATTACCGCAGCCTGTATTTAATTACACTGTCTAACAACTTCTAGCATACATCCTGTGTGAGACCAACGAACCTAAGTGCCTGAGCATGAAATAATCTCTCTCTGAAGAATTTTCTTTTCAGTAGAAAACGTTTCTTTAACGAATCATCACAGAAGGATATATATTTTTCTAAAGACCTAAGAAAACGTTATGATCATACTAATCGTGATAAATCAGTGAAGAGAGTGTAGTGTCTCTTTGTCAATTCACACCGGGCATCCAAAACCTTTTCGTTTGCAGTTTTAACTTGTTGGTGCTGCTGTTGACCAGATACGTTAACAACGAACTCTCCTCACACCTTCTTGGCACCATAGAAGTGAATTGGTTTACGCTTGCTTGAAACTAGCCCAGGATCTGTTCGTCATTTACTATTCATACTTTAATCTACGGTCATTGTAAGATTCTTTAAATTAATCGTTAATGTAATTAAGAATTTTTTTATTTTATTTCTATCTCAGAGATATAGTCTCCACACGTCTTTGTTATTGCTCGCTATATTAATTGAGATTGCTCTGAAGTTACGGAAACGAGTGGTTTTGTTGAATTATTTTTTGTTTGTTGTTTTAAAATTATTTATGAGTTTCATTGAACGTTTTGAGAAATGAAAATTACTTCGTCCTACAAATCAGTACAAAACGAAATTTGAGACGCGACAGACAAAACTATATGTGTTGGCGTTGAACCACTTTGTATATATATTTCAACTAGTTAAAGCGTTAAGATAATTAAGCGATTAGAAGAAATTGAAACGGATATTTGAATATATATTGTATCGCATTATTTTATTACGATTCATTTAGTGTATTGTATTAGTGTGCATAGATAGAATTATAGCTGAACATTTTGTACAAGAATTGAGAATTGTATATGGACTTGTACCGTTTTCCAAAGTGTAAGAATATACAAATTTTGTATTATTTTTAAAAACCAGATTTTCTTTTCGAATTCCTTCAAATTTTCTCTTGAATAATATATATATTTTTTAAATAGAAAAACAATTGTTATTATTCAGACACTTGTTAGAAACTGTTCTATAATAGTATTTCTGTAGAGAATTACAAGCTGCACTTAAAAATACATAATTTAATTTAAACAAATAAAATTAGCCTTAAATAAACGAGAAAATCCTCGCCAAAACTTAATTAATCTAATATAGATACACATATTTCCTAAAATTAAATAACTCGTTTTATGATCTTATTTGGATTCTAATTATAGAATTTATTTACTCTACGTTTCAACTAGTATCACAGTTGTTACTTACAATATAAAAATACTTTCTAATTATCATAGATATACAAGTC